ATACCTTATGGCAGTCAGGGTGCCATTGCTTAGCCTGTAGAAATCTGTGTGTCCCTCCATGGATATGCCTCCCCAGACCATCACTGACACACCACCAAAACGGTAATTTTGAATGATGTTACAGGCAGCATAATGTTCTCCATGGCTTCTCCAGACCCTTTCACGTCTGTCACATGTGCTCAGGTTGAACCTGCCCTCATCTGTGAAAAGCACAGGGTGCCAGTGGTGAACCTGCTAATTCTGTAAAATGGCAAATGCCAATAGAGCTATATGATGCTGGGCAGTGAGCACAGGGCCCACTAGAAGATGTTGGGCCCTCAGGCCACCCTTATGAAGTCTGTTTCTGATTATTTGGTCAGAGACATTCACACCAGTGGCCTGCTGGAGGTCATGCTGTGCTCCTGTTCCTCCTTGCCCAAAGGAGCAGATACCAGTCCTGCTGATGGGTTAAGGACCTTCTATGGCCCTGTCCAGCTCTCTTAGAGTAACTGCATGTCTCCTGGAATCTCTTCCATGCTCTTGAGTCTGTGCTGGGAGACATGACAAACCTTCTGGCAATGACACATATTGATTGTGCCATCCTGGAGGAGTTGGACTGCCTGTGCAACCTCTGTAGGGTACAGGTATCACCTCATGCTACCAGTATTGACACTGACCCTAGACAAACGCAAAACTGGTGAAAAACATTCAGAAAAGAAATGAGTAGGGAAAAAAAATGTCAGTGGCCTCCACCTGTAAAACCATTCCTGTTTTGGGGGTCATTTAATTGTTGTCCATCTAGTGCACCTGTTGTTAATTTCATTAACACCAAAGCAGCTGAAACTGATTAACAACCCCCTCTGCTACTTAACTGACCAGATCAATATCCCAAGGGCTTGGTTGACTTGATGTTATACTCTGATTAAAAAGTGTTCCTTAATTTTTTTGAGCAGTGTATATTGCAAGAGGGTCATAAAACAAAGACTGTTACATACACTAAAACAATACACTCACCAGCCACTTTATTAGGTACACCTTGCTAGTACTGAGTTGGACCACCTTTTGCCTTCAGAACTGCCTTAATTTTTCATGGCATAGATTCAACAAGGACTTGGAAACATTCCTCAGAGATTTTGGTCCACATTGACATAAGTTCCTGTTGCCTTTCTATCATCTCAAACCATTCTGTCCATTTTCCTCTGACCTCTGATATCAACACAGCATTTTTGTCCACACTGTTGCTCACTGGATATTTTCTCTTCTTCTGACCATTCTCTGTAAACCCTAGAGATGGTTGTGCATGCATATCCCAATAGATCAGCAGTTTTTGAAATACTCAGACCAGCCCGTCTGGCACCAACAACCATGCCATATTCAAAGTCAATTAAATCCCTTTTCTTCCCCATTCTGATGTTCGGTTTGAATGTCAGCAAGTCGTTTTCACAACGTTTAGATGCCTAAATGCCTTGAGTTGCTGCCGTTGATTGGCTGATTAGCAATTTGTGTTACCAAGCAAGTACAGGTGTACCTAATAAAGTGGTCGTTGAGTGTATATATACTGTATATTGTTACATACATACATAGATACTGATCAATCATAAGATTATGAAAAAATGGGCAAGTGTGAGGATTTGAATGACTTTGACAAGGGCCAAATTGTATTGGCTAGGCAACTGGGTCAGGGCATCTCCAGAGGTCAGGACCTACCAAAAGTGGTCCAAGGTAGTAAAACTGGTGACAGGATCGTGTGTGTCCAAGGCTCAGTCATGCACGTGGGGCTGGCCTGTGCAGTCTGATCCAATAGAAGAGCTAGAGCTACAGTAGCTCACATTGCTGAAAAAGTCAATGTTGGTTCCAAAAAAACAGTGCATTGTAGTTTGTTGCATATGGGGCAGCATAGCTGCAGACCGGTCACGGTGCCCATGCTGACCTGTGTCCACAGCCAAAAGCATCTACAAATAGGCATGTGGGCATCAAAAACTGGACCAGGGAGCAATGGAAGGTGGTGGCCTGGTCTGATGAATTAAAGAATGATTTGAGGAACACAATGAGTTTGAGGTGCTGACTTGCCCTCCAAATTCTCCAGATCTTAATCTGATCAAGCTTTTGTGGGATGTGCTAGAAAAACAAGTCTGATTCATTGAGACTCCACCTCCACCTTACAGGTTCACCTTGCTGCTACTGACAGCTTGGTGCCAGATACTTTGAAAGGTGTAGTGGAGTTCGAGCATCAATGGGTTATGATGGGCGCCCATATATTTATGATGCCCACTGCGAAATGCACAGTGTTAACAAATGGCAGATGAAATATAAACTAAAATCCCATTAAGCTATACCTGGCCATCGGACTTTGACCTATAATACTTACAACCGTTTCTGTAAACAATGTTTTTTTTTATGGTGTTATGTTGTACCATTGAAATGTTTCCCTTTGATGATTGGCAAGAAGTTCAGGAGCCATAATCCAATACATTCTCTGCTTTACCCTGTCCTTGTGTTTGATGTAGTGTGCATTTCTGACTGGGCCACCAAATGGAAGATTTACTAAAACTGGAGCACAAAGAATATGATGTAGCTGTGCATAGTAGCCAATCAGCTTCTAACTCCAGCTTGTTGACTTAAACATTTACAATAATACCTGGAAGCTGATACATTCTATGTGCTCCAGTTTTAATAAATCCCCTCCAAGTGTTTATTGGTGCGGAGTACTAGACTGCAAATTGGCTCCTGTCTTATTGCAAGCTAAGCAGAAATGTTAACTGGTTAAACACTGATTAAACATTATTATGCTTTTTATTTACTCCAGGGTTCTTATTTAATTTGTAAATGTAAAATACTTTATTTACATTTGAAATGTCTCAAATAGTATACACGTTATGCTGACTATAATAGACTTGTTAAAACAAGTATATTTGGCAAAAGCAAACTGATAATATAGAGACAAACATTTACATGCCTTCAAGACTACGACTACAAATGGCACTGTTAAATGCCCTTTTTTGTTTTAAGCAAGATTATCCCCATTTGACCATTATCAATAATATTAAGACACAATACAAGTCTTTTTTTTAACAATACTTCATTAATTTATGACTGCAATACAGGAAAGCAAGAGCAGATTTGTACTGCTTTAGAAAATAACAACTGAATAATATCTTCAGTACATTCCACTTTGTATGTGTATTGTGCTTGAATATGTTTCTGAAATGATCTTTTAATGTGAATGTGTTACATTCATTGCTCTTAAAATGGAAGAAAAGGTTACACAATCACTTACCTGTTAAATGATGCCTCTCCTTTGCTCTGAGTACTATTCTTGTAATGTTTCCTATGTCGTCATGTGACTGCAGAGCTCCGGTGTGCTGGCTCATTTCCCTCTCTTTCTGCAGCTAGTGAGCAGGAGCCCTTCTATCAGCTGACATTGCCTCAACATCCCTGGTAGCTATAGATGCTAGCTGGATGCTGTCTCGGCTACAGGGATTCATCACTGTTGTCATACCCTCTACATTACAGATTAGCCCTGAAACTATGAAGTCATGTAGCACATAAAAAAAGTAAAAAAAAAAAAAAAAAAAAAAAAAAAAAGCATAGCAAAGGGGAAGCATAATTTAACAGGTAAGTAAATGAGTAGCCTTTCCTTCCACTTTAAAAACAAACTTTAGCAATTCATCCAAAAAAACTCTAGGTAAACATTCAGCATAAAGTGTATGTAAACCCTGATAATGAACTTCTGTTTGTTCCCTTTTGGTCTGTTAAAACATAACATTGTGTTTTGTTAAATCTGTTTGATACGTGCAAAAAAAAATACATTTTAATCTTCTGAAGCATCTAGTGAGCTGATAACTACATGCTCTCTTTGTCTGTGCTGAATTTAAACAGTGACATTGTTCTGAGGACTACAAACCCTGTCTATCTTATGGAGAAGAGGAGGGGAGGATGTTTCAGTAGTCCTATCCCGTTTCTGCTGTCATGATACAGTAGGGTGTGCACAAGCACTGTTACTCTATGACAGAAAGTATTTCACTAGCAGAATCTCCAGGTGAAAATGTAAATGCAGCCACCGCATCTGAGAACTTGTAAACTGTAATATATTATTTTTATTTCCTGGGTTTGGATACACTTTGACAGATCTTCTTACTCCCCGACCACACACATATTTGATAGTTTCTACAACAAGCAAAAAGGAGAACATCTTTGTTCAGGCAACACCCTCTAGAGCCTTTATAAAGCAAGATACCCACTTCACCTCTTGTTCCCCAAGATACCATGTTTTCCTGTGGATATTGGCCAACAGTACAGTGAAGCAGCAACTGTAACACCACACTATTTCCCATATAAACACAAGAGCGGGTATAATTATGGAATTGGGTTTAGCACCAGAGGTGGGGGACAGCGCTAAGTGAGATACAGCACAGGATTTAGCACCACAGTTGGAGAATCGAGCTAGGTGGGATACAGTACGTGAAGGAGTGCTTTATGAATACATACTTACGTGTTTGTATACTGCAACCTTTAATGTATTATAAGCCATAGAACTGTACTGATAACTGCACCAACATAAGGAAAAAGGGCTGTTAAGTAGAAATTTGTACATCTTGTCCAGCAGCTCATATTTTGTAGATTTCATATAGTCCAAACAACTGGATGAAGATCTTCTAATATCTATGGGTATCTTAACAGCTATATGATACCACTAGCTTTACATACTGATCATTTTCAACTTGTTTTGGTGCTACATTTGTTTTTGAACAAATCCACAGCCATCAATTAAGACAAAATATTAAATAAATAAGAATATCCATAATACGTAAAACCACAGTCCTCAACGTCCAGGATTACACAGATCCCTTAGTTCCAAAAAGCTGCAAAGGGCCGTCTTCATAAACACCATCTACATGTTTTCGTGAATAAATTCACAGATATCCTTCAAAGATTGGAGATGCTACTTGAGTATGACGTGTACATGTGAGTTTGTCTTTAAGATAAGAAAAAAACTCCCTTTTGTAATGAGAAGTCCCAAATTATTTGTGCTCCTTAGTAGGTGCATAGTAGAGTTCCATGGGTTTATTTACCTTCCAGTACTTTTCACTAACCAGTTCCAGGGAAAATGAGCCATTTAAAACCTAAAAAGAAAATTTTATGGTTATTTGAATTTGTTATCAAAGTCTGTAATTTTCTTTCCAGCAATGTTTTATGTCATTTTAAAATGCTCATACACAGCATCATCAAAACACCATATTAGGCAACTGAACAGCAAATAAGGAAAGAGTCACAATTTAAGAGTTGAAAATGATGTGCACTTTCCAAAAACTATAAAAAAAAAAAAAAAAATTCCAATCAAAAAGAATCAACCTAAATGTATTACATTTACATTAACCTCCCTGGCGGTATTCCCGAGTGTAGCTCGGGGTAAAATTTCAGTACCAAGAGCGGTAACCCCGAGCTACACTCAGGCTTACCATGCGGCGCTGCATAGGGAGTCCCTGCAGCGCTTACCTTGTCCTTCGCTCCCGTGATGTGTCTCCTGCAGCGTCCCCGGCCATCTCCTCCGGCCGATGCCAGCATCCGGCTTCCGTGTTCCGGTCCCTGTGATGTCGGGACGTACGGGCGCCGGAACCGGCGGCAAATTTGACATTTTTAAAAAATGTCATTTTTTAAAAAATGATTCCTATATAGTAAAACATTGCTGTTTTAATGCATTTCACATATATTTTGTCCCTACTGCTTTGTCCTGTGCCCTGCCTGCATTTTGACTGTTCTTTCTGCCTGGAAACTTAGAAAAGTCCATGGCGTCCAAAAAGCGTCCCTTTATGTCAAAAGCGGTTTTAGACCAGCTAGAGAACAGTGATAGTAAATTAGAACCACTTGCAGAATTGAGTGATAATGATTCGTGGGGAAATTCGTCATCAGACACTGAAAACGATTTTGCGACTTTGCTCAGCAATGTGCGAATTTGCCTCTGTATTTCAAATTTCAGTGTTTTTGGTTTGATTATATTATTGAATTAAATTTATTATTAATATATTATTATTTTTTATGATTATTAATTAAATTATAATTTATGATTTTGTGTTGCAAGTTTTATCATATCCGGAATGTTTACTAGACTCTTGTTTGGACAGATTTCAGTGAGTTATTCCTAAAAATTACAGCCTACAATAAAAAACTACATATTTCCATGCAAAAAAATGTTACTGCTTTCAGCACCAAATATCGGAAATAATCATACCGCCAGGGAGGTTAAATACAAACTAACACATTAGACTATGATACTACTAACAAGATAACATGTAATTGCCACTAGATGGCAGTCTGTTCTTTGAGGATCTTTGAGTGGATATCTGCTGCCATCCAGTGACAATTACATCTTGGTGTGGTCTCTATTATTTATATACTGAACAGTACCTGGTCCTATTGACAGATTATGTGTATTACTGATAAATGATTTTGCTAATGTTTTACTTTGCTGATATGATTGAATACAAATATCTTTGATGTCTGCATGTTGGCTTGCTTATTCATTTTTGCAGTTAGAGACATGCCCGTGGCTATTAAGACAGTTGGATTAAAATCAGTATTTGAAGCGGTTTGATGACTACTTCCAGCACCAAATATTATTATTTATTTTGCTGTTTGCCTGAAGTTCCTCTTTAATGGTTAAATAAAATGTAATACTAAACAAAGTAAGGTTTTTGTATCTATGTCACTGCAATATTATTGCCCCCTTTATACAGTACATTAAATAAAATGTAATTGGACAAGCAGAGCTGAGGAAGGATTTAGTAATTCTGCTAAAGTTAGTTTAGTAGAAATACCCAATGAAAAATGGCAGTTGCAAAAGCAAGCACAATCTTGAAATGTATAAAAAGATAAAAACAGATGATAATGTAGTATTGACACTGTAATACCACATTTTAGATTATCACATTGCAGAAAGGATATTGGAATTCTGAAGAGGACATAAAGTGTTACTAAACTCAGGACCCTGAATTTACTATATCTGGTCTCCCACAATACACAGAACATGAAAATGCAATTATTTTAGTAAATATAAACTGCTTAATACCTTTTCTTATCAGCAGTATATAGCAGTCTTGTAACTTCTACCAGTGTCCAACTGAGCACTGTTTAATCTTGTAGGAGGAGTTTTCAGTCTACTCTGACTGCCCTAAGAGACTGCATAACCCCTGACACTGTCTGGACAGCACTGGTTGGCCCTGTGCTGATCACATGCACCTTCCCAAAGGAAAAAAAAAAAACCTCTCTAGCAATACACACCAAACTGAGCATGTATAGAGTGTCTCTTAGAGCTATGTACTATCAGAAGATGGATTGGATACAGCAGAAGAAGGGGAGGATCAGAGAAGACAGGATCAAACAGCCCTTTACACAATATGGAGGATTATCCCATTAGGTCCCACAGTGAGTATACCAAGCATGTTTCACTACATATACAGACTGATTTTACTGTTGTGGGTTTAGTAACACTTTAAATGGTAGCTGAATCAGTTAAAGAAATTAAAATTTTTACTTACAACAAAAGGTTGTGAGAACCATGTACAGTTTGAAAAGGGGGGGGCATATCTTAGAGGTGACCTCTACTCATTTGATGAAAATATACAAGACTAGTGTGAAAATCTAGCTTCTTATCCTAAAGATTGTATAAATCAGCTGTTTTGCCATCCTCTGCATCAAAACAAGCAGGAGTTGTGTAAAATAGAAATTTGAAGACCTGGTTCTTTTTTCAGCCCTAATAACTGCTAGCAAATGTGTGCAGGTTCCTTAAAGTGGTTGTAAACCTCAGACATGAAATATGAACAAAGTATATCCTTCTAGTGTGTACTTGTCTCAGTTCATAGCATTAAGTGCTCCATTCACTAAAGCAGATCGTCAGATTTAGGTGATCTGACACATTTTTCTCATTTATCGGGTCAGCAATGCCATTCGTGATTGAAGTTGGATCTTACAAGCAGTAAAAAGGAGAAACACTCCAACATATATGGGGTTATAGCCAACATAAACAGAGGGAGAGTGCTATGTCCTTTGAACTCAAGAGAAAAGTTTTTTTCAGTAAGTACAAAAAAAAAACAATTATTTTTTCTCTTTGATTTCATAGACATAGTTTTCTCTGCTTTTACAAATGGGACATCCAACTGCACTGCTGATATAAATGAAAGGGCAATAGAAAAAACTTGCAACAAGGATCCCGTCCCTAAGGTAAGGAAATTACACATCCGAAGATGCAACATTGACCTTGTACAACTTGATAAAAGTATGAGTAGAAGACCAGACAGCTGCTTGAAGACCTGAAAATCTGATGCCTGGTTGTGAAAATCTGACCACCCCAGCAAAACGAGTCAGAACTGGAAATAGAAGATAATGGTGTAGATGACATAAGCCTGAATCAAAGTCTGGTGAATCCAACAAGAAATGGTGGCCACAGAGGCAACTAAGCCTCTCTGTAACCCGACAGTGACCACAAAATGGGAATTTTCCAGGTGGAAAGAAGCTGTAGTATTTAAATAAACATAAACATCCTGAATCATGTTTATATAATAGAGAGCTATCTGCCTTGAGGAACTGAAGTAGGACAGCATGTTCAAACGAAAATATCCTCTTAGGTGAAAGGAAGACACCACCTTTGGAAAGAAAGGAGGCCTTGGACTAAGCATGACTTTGCCTTATGCAAGACCAGATAAGGATACTGCCACTTTGGAAACTCTCCGTGTCTTAGAGATAGCAAACAAAAAGATGACCTTGTGGGAAAGAGTAAAAAAAAAAGATGACAGCAGGAGACAGGGCTTTTTTGCTCTGACTATTCCTATCAACAGCAGGATTGAGACACCTATCTCTCAAGGCCTGGCTTTCAGTCAGGCCCAGGGGCGGAATGACAATTTGGAAACTCGGGCACTGCCCGAGGGCCCGGGGTCAGTAGGGGGCCCCATGAGATGCCCCTGGTACCTTTTTCATAGGCTTTTTTGAGTTTGGGCAAAAGACACAGGGTCCCCATGATCCCTTATTGCCCGGGGGCCCCATGAGTTGTCAGTCCACCCCTGGTCAGGCCATTTAATGCAGTGATTGTAAAGGATCATATATGGGTTCCTGGGGCAGCAAGTATGGACAAAGAGAGAGGCGCCAGGGAATATCTACAACCAGAGAAATAAGGTCCATACACCAATATCAATAACAAGGCCATTATAGTGCCACTAGAATGAATGGAAACCCTGTAAATTTGGTCTTTCAAATCAGCCAAGGTAGACACTATAAAAGAGAAAAAGCGGGGACTATCAGTCCCATAGAGACGCCACTGCATTTGTCACTCCCTGCCAGGAATCCTTAGTCTTGGCTACAGACCCTTCTACCTTGTGGTTGAGGCAAGACTCCATCAGATCAACATCTGGCTACCCTCTCCAAAATGATATATACTTAAATGTAGATCTGTACATATGGAATGCACATTTTGGGAAGAGCCAGAACATGATTTCCTGCCCACTGCAAGATGTGACAAACTTCCAGCACTATAGAACCTTCTTTTTTCCTCCTTGGTGTTTGATGCATGTCACTGCCCTGGAGCTGTCAGACTGCTCCCTTTTCCTTCCAGAGAACTTGTCCAGCACAGGAGTGGAGGGCAGTTTAATTGACCAACATTTCATCATGTTGATAGAAAGTCAAGCCTTCTCCTGGGACCAGAGACCCTGAGCTAACAGGGACTGAAGGTTGCTGTGCCCCACATGGGCAAAGGAGTTCACTTTAAAGAAAATAGAATGCTTGGGATCACAGCAAAGGGGATCATGTTATGTGAGCCTGTTGCCTTTTGTATGAACCCACTTAAAAAGATGAGAGAGGCCTGTAATTGGCATCATAGGTAGACCTCAACTATGAGAGACAAAATGAGAAAAAAATCCAGACAATCACATTGGCTGATTTGGAAAGAATTTCTTTGCAAATTATGGTGGAAAATAAGTATTTGGTCACCTACAAACAAGCAAGATTTCTGGCTCTTACAGACCTGTACCTTCTTCTTTAAGAGGCTCCTCTGTCCTGCACTCATTACCTGTATCAATGGCACCTGTTTGAACTTGTTATCAGTATAAAAGACACCTGTGCACAACCTCAAACAGTCACACTCCAAACTCCACTATGGTGAAGACCAAAGAGCTGTCGAAGGAAACCAGAAACAAAATTGTAGACCTGCACTAGGTTGGGAAGACTGAATCTGCAATAGGCAAGCAGCTTGGTGTGAACAAATCAACTGTGGGAGCAATAATTAGAAAATGGAAGACATACAAGACCACCGATAATCTCCCTCGATCTGGGGCTCCACGCAAGATCTCACCCGAGGGGTCAAAATGATCACAAGAACGGTGAGCAAAAATTCCAGGACCACACGGGGGGACCAAGTGAATGACCTGAAGAGAGCTGTGACCAACGTAACAAAGGCTACCATCAGTAACACACTACGCCGCCAGGGACTCAGATCCTGCAGTGCCCGCCAGACTTGTCCCCCTGCTTAAGCCAGTACATGTCTGGGCCCGTCTGAAGTTTGCTAGAGAGCATTTGGATAATCCAGAAGAGGATTGGGAGAATGTCATATGGTCAGATGAAACCAAAATAGAACTGTTTGGTAGAAACACAACTCGTCGTGTTTGGAGGAGAGAGAATGCTGAGTTGCATCCAAAGAACACCATACCTACTGTGAAGCATGGGGGTGGCAACATCATGCTTTGGGGCTGTTTCTCCGCAAAGGGACCAGGACGACTGATCCATGTACAGGACAGAATGAATGGGGTCATGTATCGTGAGATTTTGAGTGCAAACCTCCTTCCATCAGCAAGGGCATTGAAGATGAAACGTGGCTGGGTCTTCCAACATGACAATGATCCCAAACATACCGCCCGGGCAACTAAGGAGTGGCTTCGTAAGAAGCATTTCAAGGTCCTGGAGTGGCCTAGCCAGTCTCCAGATCTCAACCCCATAGAAAACCTTTGGAGGGAGTAGAAAGTCCATGTTGCCCAGCGACAGCCCCAAAACATCACTGCTCTAGAGGAGATCTGCATGGAGGAATGGGCCAACATACCAGCAACAGTGTGTGCCAACCTTGTGAAGACTTACAGGAAACGTTTGACCTCTGCCATTGCCAACAAAGGATATATAACAAAGTATTGAGATGAACTTTTGATATTGACCAAATACTTATTTTCCACCATAATTTGCAAATACATTCTTTCCAAATCAGCCAATGTGATTGTCTGGATTTGTTTTCATATTTTGTCTCTCATAGTTGAGGTCTACCTATGATGCTAATTACAGGCCTCTCTCATCTTTTTAAGTGGGAGAACTTGCACAATTGGTGACTGACTAAATACTTTTTTGCCCCACTGTAGCTTCATACAGCAATTTCCTATATATTATTGGGAATCGGTGTCGGCATTCACATTTTAGATACATTTAGTGATATGTTTATTTTTCACATGGTAATCTGGGATCATACAGGTTCCAAACATTGTAGCATGTATTAGGATTGTCTCCCCACCGAGAACTGCCCACCAACAAGTGTCTATTATTGAAACAAGCACCAGGTAGAGAGCATCACCACCCAAGGAAGCAGGTTGTCTGAATTTTATTTCTCTCTGGTTACAACTCAGGATGACAGAAGCAGCATAGCTGAATGCCATTAGGATGCAGAAATGCCACTAAAATCTGGTGAAAAAATCCAAAGGGTTGAAAATATTCATTTCAAGAGAATTAACAGGATGTGGGATTATAGTTTTGAAATATTCACTGCTCAATTTTTTCAGTTTGCATTAAGATCTTGGTTAGATCCAAGGTCGCAGATTATCATGCTCACCACTTTGAATACCACTAAACAATATCCATGCACACAAACACAGAAAACAAAATACTCACTGTAAATTGTCCATTGGCTGTAGCAATGTATATAGTATACTGTTTTTCACTGGCAGCATTCAGATTCATCTGGTTGGTCTCTCCTTTACTCCGAAATTCTTCAAGAGCCAATCTCACAGCAAGGTATTTAGATAAATGATCAACTGTGGCATTTCCAGAAGTCTTTATGTACCTTCAAGATAAGCCAATAGGAAAGTGATGTCTATGTGTTAGAAAATATTAATTGATATACAGTATGCATGTGTGTATAGTGACAGTTGACAGCTAAGGCCCACATCATAAGTCTTCCTGTGATAATGGTGTTAATTTGAGTATACTGTATATATACATAATAGCACCTGAGCAATTTGAGTTTCGATAATATTATTATATTATACTATATCGTTCACTGAAAGCCCAACTGAAGTTACATAAATAGATATTCAGTCAGATGGTAATAATAACCTTCATTGTCATAGTTTCACTTCTACTTTTCTGGTATAGCAGTTGCACAGTGTGTTTAAAGCTGAACTCCAAACAGATATAAAAGACATCAGAAGGACTTCAGAAAAGGAGCAAGCAAAGAAGAAAATCTTTCATCAGTGGACACATGATAAAAAGGTAAAAAAAAAAAAAAAAATACATTCATGCTCAAAACAATTTTGCCTGAAGATGAGGGCAAATGTACAGTATTTTTAAAATACAAACAGTGTAAGTACATGAATTTGACTTGGTATGAACTTAAAGTGGTTCTAAAAGTTTTAATGAAAAAAAAAAATAATAATAACAAGTGTGTTATGCTTACCTGTTCGGTGCAATGGTTTTGCGCAGAGCAGCCCTGATCCTCTTCTTCTTGGGTCACACGCTGGTAGTCCTGGCATCTCCCCACTGCCAAGTGCCCTCAATAGCAATCCTCTTGTTATAGGGGCGCTTGAGCAGGCTCGATCCCAAGCCACACTCCTGTGAATGAACATTGTCCACTTGCACACAGAGTGCGGCTCAGTCCCACCACCCCCTCTTCATTGGCTCAATGGCTGTGATTGTTTTGGGAGAGCTGCACTTTGTTGGATTGTGATGGGGCTCAAGTAAGTATTAGGGGGGCTGAGGGGGTGAGCTGCACCCATAAGGTTTTTTACCTTAATGCATAGGTAAAAAAAAACCCTTCTGCCTTCAGAACCATTTTAAGCAATCCCTGTACAGCAGAGCTCAGGCTGGGAGAGGTAGAAGGAGCAAAAAGAACCTTTCAGGTATGCTGCAGTTCTCGTGTGCTAACAAGGAACATGCTGTTAGTGGAAGAGAGAGATCAGCTCATCAGCATGCTGCCTCTCTATTCAATGGCTAGTCAGAGTGTGCAGCATTCAGCATTTTCACTGAGAGAAATATCAGTTAAAGATCATAACATGTAGCACTATAGGACAATAAAAAGAAAAAAAGTGGAAGCTTTCAATTGGGCTCTAAACACATTTTCAGTGACTGTGACCTCAGTACAGTTTTACTTTAAATTATACAGTTATAGTGATTAAATCACAAATTACAGATGACATTCTTTTACCGTGTCTGAGCATTATCATCTTTCTCCATTAGTGTTGGGTGAGGTCTAAAGACCAACTCTATCTCATTGGATCCATCCAACACAGGATCCATTGTTACAGTTTCATTATTTGCATCCAGCTCCAAACCAGAATCATCAGACGTTTTTGTCCTCTTGTTGCTGGGCCCAGCTTCTTGATTACTGTGTACAGAAGCATTACTGCAGTGGGAACTGTCGGCATTATCTTCAGCTCCACTCCCATTTTCAACTTGTTGCTTCTTCCCCCTTTGTAATCTGTAATGCAATATTTATGCTGTCACAAATCTAACAGTGTTGTATCTGTCAATGTATGTTCTATAACAAACCATAAATAAAGTGTTCTGGAAGCTGTCATGAAGACAACATGTGAGCTAGTCACTTTCCAAGATCTGCAACAAGCAAATGTAACTCTAGAAACAGGCTGAGCAATGACATCAGTGACAACAGAAGACGAACAGGCCTTGGGACAATTAACTTTAGCAATACACAATAAAAAAAAAAAAATCAAATATATCAAATATTTAAATTTTGTGATGTTTTTCATTAGCAAGTCAATGGTAAAGCGAGTTAAATAAAGCAGGTGGCCTTAGGTTAATTACTAAAAAGGCTTTCTCCATGTTTGTTTCACACAGTTAATGGTCTTCAGTTTAAATGTGTCCATATTAGGACAAGTATCTCAAACTGACCCAACAATTTGTTAAGTCAGTCTTTTTTTATTATTAACACTTTACCCTTTTAAAGTGATCACTGTATGTATTGAATCAAATTGAAATATTGTGACACATATTTGTATTACAAAATACTACACACTAATTATATTTTTCATACAATAAATCAGTCATTCCTACACATTTACACTTCCTTACAATAGATGCCCACACACTATCTCCAATCACTACATGTGTAGATCATAGAAAAATACTGATGGTTTACATTTTCAAAAAATGTTTTTTTATATTAAAAGAGAAAATTCTAAATTGGCTTACCATTTTGTTCTTCTCCTGCGGTTTTGTTTATTTTCCAGAAGAAGAAACTGGTAAGCAGATTAGAATGTTCTCCTTTCCCTGTACACAGCACAAAACAGAAGATACCTAAAATAATTACCCGTGCATTAACTCTTGACTGGGATATATGCAACGCTATAATTAAATTTGTCTAGAAAATCATTTACTTAATTTTATGTTGTTTAAAAGCAATAAAAAACAAATCAAATAATGTGCAGAATGCTGAATAAGAATGTTATGTATAGATAGATCAGGTACCATTTCATGAATATTTATGAATCAGTTGTGGCTGGGCCTAAAGTATACATTACCCCAAAAATATTGTTAGCTTTGTATTGACTGTGGATAGGTTAGATCTCCTGTCAGGTTTTTACCTTTATCCGGCTCCGTTAGAGAGATTTCCCCTCACTCCATGTCCTGCTGATACTGTTTAACCAGACAGGAAGTGAAGGGAACATTCCAACAGCATCAGAGACAGAAATAAAATGTCTTTTTTGAAGAGTAGGGAAAGCCTAGATCCCTGTCCTATTTTTATTTTTCTTTCTGCATCCCTCTTGCAAATTTTCTCTTGCTTCCTTTCCAGTTAAACCATTGTTAGCAGGACAAAAAGCAAGAGAAAATCTTTTTTTTTTCCAGACAGGGATTCTAAATACTTACTCACTGTTTCTAAAATTAAAAAAAATAAGATTTTGGCTAACATTACTCACTCAGCGACCTGCAAAAAACCATGCAAGATGACCTATTGGCGATTTCTTATTTAGCTTTTTTGTTTTGTCTGAAGCTCATTGAGCTAAGAGTCAGATAACACACAAGCAATTGCTGTACTGTCACCTGCCTGTGTGTTATCAATATGAGCTCAGGCAGCTGACAAGGCAAAAGCTGTCAGACCTCATATAACCTCTTATACCTGACTTTCAGGGTTAAAAGTGAGGTTTAGAAAAGGCAAGTGAAGCTAACGGTTAAATGTAAATTTTTCATAATCAATCCTTCACAATTATAAAAATGTGAAGTGTAATATTCTTGCTAAATCATGATTGGGTTTCTTTATATTCTTTACTACCTACATACCATAATTCTTTAAAACAATTAAAACTTTAAACATGAAAATAGTGATGTGTATAATGTGGTGTGTACAACCCGGCGTCATAAACTGATGTCATAGCAAGGACCAGAAATAAATAACTGAGAAATGATCTGAGAAAAAGGGGTATTTCAATGGCTATAGTGAACATTCAATATTGTTTTCTTTGACAGTGATTACTTTTTAATGTATCTATAATCTACTGAAAATACATAGTATATATTGTATAACATTCAATGTAAACGCAGCTGGCTAACACCATGATTTATCCGGGACAAGCTTTTCTACCGATTATGTTATCAACTGTAACACACAGCAAACCCAGAAATTTCAAGTGTTTGGCACTCAACCACAACAGTAGAGGCCCTTTAATATTATCAGAAAAGTGTGACTCACACTATCAATAAATATTTTCTGGAACATATTTCCATAAGGTATGAGAGCAACACTTGTAACAAATAAAGTCCCAAAATATATTCACTTGTTAAATATGTACAATAATCTATTCAGGTATCTCTGTAAGGTTTTATGCACAAGGCTTTCAAATGCATACAACACACTGCCCAGTATATCTGCTTTAATATCTGTTGGCAGATGCAAACTTTGGTGGGTATAACCCACACACAGCAAAATTATCCCAGTTGTGTGTATGTAACAGTGTGCTCACTATGGAGGTGAATGGAAGTTATAGATCTGCCAAAAGATGATAATTTAGGATACATTTACCAGGCATCAAGCACCAAGAGTACCCATGTACATAAAGTTTTAGGATACTTTAAGTTGGCTTTATTAGATTGTACCTGTTCTTTTTATGTTTGTTTTTTTTTTTTTGCTTTACTTCTGTTGAGTTTTGCAGTGTAGAAAACAAGGAAAACAAAAAGATTGAACACAAATAAGGAATGAAGGGAGAGGATGGAACAGAAGTCAAAAGGGACACTGAAGTTTCCATTATCTGCATACAGTTGTGCTGAAACGTTTGCATACCCTGGCAGAAATTATAAAATGCCATTGATTTTGAAAATATGACCAAATATATGGCCTGATCATGCCAAACAACTGTCTTTTATTTAAGGATAGTGATCATATAGAAGCCATTTATTATCCCATAGTAGTCTGGATCCTTTTTAAATCATAATGATAATAGAAATCACCCAAATGGCCCTGATCAAAAGTTTACATACCCTGGAATATTTGGCCTTAGTACAGACACACAAGGTGACACACACAGGTTAAAATGGTAATTAAAGTTTAATTTCCCACATCTGTGGCTTTTTAAATTGCAATAAGTGTCTGTGTATGAATAGTCAATGAGTTTGAGCAGAAAGGTGCTGCATGGACCTTGAAGAAAGAAACATACCCCGAAAGCTTGTCCTGAAAACTGTATATTGCTGCAAATAAAAAAGTATCACGGACAGTACTCAATTGTTTCTTTGAGCAGTAAAGAACTGTCAAAAGATCTGTGTAACAAGGTAATGGAGCTTTATAAAGATGGAAAAGGATATAAAAAGATATCCAAAGTCTTGAATGTGCCAATTAGTACTGTTCAATGGTCAGGTAGACCAAGAAAGATTGTTTCCACAACTGTCACAATTGTTCTCGATACAAAGAAATACCCAAAAGTAACATCAGGTGAAATTCAGGCTGATTTGGAAAAAGTGTGGTTGTTTCAAGGAACACAATATGACAATACTTGACCAAAAATGTTCAAGTTGCAAGAAAGAAGCCTTTGTCACAAAAAAAATGGTGAGGAGTGTCAAGGTGTTGTCGGGCATATTATAACCAGGCTTTTCCAGGTCAGTGACTCACAGCAACGAAGTAAGTAGATACAGTAAGCATTGCAGACAGGCAACTAGCGCCTTAAATCACCATGGGATTGATTTACTAAAACTGGAGAGTTCAAGATCTGGTGCAGCGGTTCATGGTAGGCAATCAGCTTCTAACTTCACATTGTTCAATTAGTCTTTGACAAAGAAACCTGGCAGCTAATTGTTTTTTTATGCAAAGCTACATCAGATTTTGCACTCTCCAGTTTTAGTAGATCAACCCCTATGTGCCTCATTACAGGTTTCCTTTAGAGAACAAGACTGCCTGAAAAGTCTTCTGTAGTCATAGCAGCAGAATAAAAAATATCTGCAATCTGAAATCTGAGCAGAGGTTTTCGTTCAATAAAAGAAATCAGTGCCAGAACAGCTAACGCTTCCATCTCCATAATAATATTTCCCTTGAAAACACAACGTTCCTCACTGGTGTCAATGACTATTCCCCCAACACTGATAAGAGACATTAGATGTGAGCTCTTGTTTTATATTAAATATTTAGAGTTATTAAGTAATAGGAAGAAAGATACATGTTATAGGGGAATCAAATGTTACAGTTTAAAATCAATAACTATGCAGCTATGGACAGCTTCAAAAAATAAACATAGTAGTAGTAGTATGTAGTCCATACAGTCAGCCATTTGGGGATTTTGGAAAAAGTACCTAATTCATGTTAACAGGCTAGTGTAATTGGACACTAATTATGTTCTGTTGCAGAAATGGTCTAGACAGAATACCCAAGTGGGAACTAAAGTTGAGTATATGGAAGGCTAAAAAAAAGACAAATGTATTCATGGCCATTGGGTAACAGGAAACAAAAACAAATCTTTTATATCCGCTTTCCGGTTGATCAAAATACTTTAAAGTAAGAACCTATACATTAAATTGTTAACAGACATGCTGACATGGATAAAGGATAACAAAAAAGCAAAAGGCAAATCATTTGATCAAAAAATGTCTACTAATGGGAGTGGATCAAGGTAGGTTGGCTAGTTATTCTCTTCAGCAAAGATCATGACCTAGGTATCTGGTCATGTGTCCAGCAGTGGATGGAGCCCACATTTTCTTCAGGAAGGGTATGTACAGTACAGCAAAATAAATATATGTAGATTATTTAGCAACCTTCAATTTCTACTGGCAAAATTATGACACTACAAATTAGGCCCAAAGTGTCAATATTTTGTGTGTCCACCATTATTTTCCAGCACTGCCTTAACTCTCTTGGGCATGGAGTTCACCAGAGCTTGGTGGATGTTAGAGACCTTGCACTCCTCCACCTTCCATTTGAGGATGCCCCACATATCTAGAGGTTGTCTTTGGGAAATAGATGTATGAGTGCTGCCAGCATTGCTGCAGAGGTTGAAGGAATGGGTGGTCAGCCTGTCAGTGTTTAGAACATATGCCGCACACTACATCAAATTGGTCTGCATGGCTGTCGTCCCAAAAGGAAGCCTCTTCTAAAGATGATGCACAAGAAAGTCCGGAAACAGTTTGCTAAAGACAAGCAGACTAAGGACATGGATTACTGGAACCATATCCTTTGGTATGATGAGACCAAGGTAAACTTATTCGGTTCAGATGGTGTCAAGCGTGTGTGGCAGCAACCAGGTGAAAAGTACAAAGACAAGAGTGTCTTGCCTAAAGTCAAGCATGGTGGTGGGAGTTTCATGGTCTGGGGCTGCATGAGTGCTGCTGGCACTGGGGAGTTACAGTTCATTGAGGGAACCATGAATGCCAACATGTATGCCAACATGTACTGTGACACACTGAAGCAGAGCATGATCCCCTCCCTTCAGAGACTGTGCCCGCAGGGCAGTATTCCAACATGATAACGACCCCAAACACACCTCAAAGATGACCACTGCCTTGCTAAAGAAGCTGAGGGTAAAGGTGATGGACTGGCCAAGCATGTCTGCAGACCTAAACCCTATTGAGCATCTGTAGGGCATCCTCAAATGGAAGGTGGAGGAGCGCAAAGTATCTAACATCCACCAGCTCCGTGATGTCGTCATGAAGGAGTGGAAAAGGACTCCAGTGGCAAACTGTGAAGCTCTGGTGAACTCCATGCCCAAGAGGGTTAAGGCAGTGCTGGAAAATAATGGTGGCCACACAAAATATTGACACTTTGGGCCCAATTTGGACATTGTCACTTAGAGGTGTACTCACTTTTGTTGCCAGCGGTTTAGACATTAATGGCTGTGTGTTGAGTTATTTTGAGGGGACAGCAAATTTACACTGTTATACTAGCTGTACACTCACTACTTTACATTGTAGCAAAGTATCATTTCTTCAGTGTTGTCACATGAAAAGATATAATAAAATATTTACAAAAATGTGAGGGGTGTGCTCACTTCCATGAGATACTGTATAAGGCACAGAATAAACCACAGGATTTGGTGTTTTCTTTACTTTCTTCTATGATTTTTACAAATGCAGATAAAGCAGTTATTGTACATATTGGTATAGGTGTTACCATCTTGATATATTTTGTTACCTAGAGCATTACCTGTTCATTGCTTGTATCTTAAGACCTTCCTCAATACTGTGGCTCAGTGCTTGTTGATTGTTATGTTTGCTGATCCGGGCCAGTACTCTTTCCTGATGAGCTTCATATTCATCTCGGCTTGGGTAGATCTTACTGATGAGGGCATCAAAGTTAGGATCTGGGCGCAATGATCTTTTAGAGACCAATTTTTTACGGCATGTTGGACATTCTTTATTTCTGCAGAGAACAGATGGGCCAGTGTTTGAAAATGCACATAAAATAAACATTTAAAGGATGTAATCCCAGGATTTTTTTCTCTCTGAATACTGAGCTGCTGATTCCTTACATGCAGTGATCAATTACTTTTCCTTTTGTATATTTTACATGCAGAAGCATTAAAATTATTTTCAAAATAAAAAGTGAGCTCTACATTTTAGTTGACTGTATACTCCATAATTGCATAAATGCTCACTGCCTAATTCCAGCCAAAATTCTTTTTGTTTTAGACTGCGGAAGGATGAGAACGTCTGTTGGGTTATTATTGCTTTCTGAGTGCATTTGACAGGCGGCTCAGTTGCAATTATTTTATTAAAAATATGTATGTACATTTAAATAAATCTAAATCACTTAACTTTAACATCAGCTTTGCTATACTATAATTTTATGTACTGTAATGTAATGATCTAGCCATAAAGTCTTTGTTCAGGCTCTTCCTATTATGGGGTAACAACTGTCTCCAAATTGTATTCCTGTGTTGTCACCCATCACATACTCCCTTACATGAAACTACAAACAGCCATACTGCAATACATTGTGCAGACATGATTCAAAAGAGTCACTATCAGTAAATTGCTTCAGAGTAAAGATGTACAGAACACCTTTGAGTGAGTGCAAGTAGACAGGAAGTGGCTGAAGAAGACTGGAAAAAAATCAGCTACAGGAAGATGCAAAAAAAGGATGAACACAAAATAAAAACAATTTTTCTGAAAAAAAAAAAAAGCATTGCAATTAATTTTGACACTCAGTAATTTAGCAAACCAAATGTTATCCAGTAAGGTCTAATCTATTTTAGTGAATACATATTAATTGGTTAGTTCATGTTTGCTTGGAGATCAGCTGTAAAGTCAGTTTAGGCCTCATGCACATCGGTGCCTAGGGCTGCACAATGTAAAATTACAGTATATCTAGTGTCCAGGATCCACAGGTTCTGCATACAGTTGCTTACGAAAAGCAATGTCTGTTCACAGCTACAGTTGTGACCAAAATTATTCAACCCCCAATGCTGTAAAGGGGTTTAGGGACTATAGTGTACATTTGGAATTGTATTCAGAATCAAATCCTACAAGGACGTTGTAACTACCCAAATGCAACTAAAATGACATCAATTGTTTATGTAATACAGTAGTAAATGGTTCTTATGTGGTTTCTTCATTGCCACAATTATTCAACCCCTTAAAGACTACCACTCTGAAGAACAGAGGTTCATACAGGTGCTTTCCATCAGGTATTGAAAACACCTGTGGATGTCACCGAGCAGCAATCAAGCATAATAAGCACCAATTAGGCAGCTTTAAAATGACTGTGATACTCAGCTCCTTCTAGACATTTACTGGTGTGGTTACAAACATGGTGAAGGCAAGAGAATGGTCCAGGAAGACAAGAGAAGAGGTGATTTCTCTTCACAGGAAGGGCAATGGCTATAAGAAGATTGCAAAGATGTTAAACATACCAAGAGACACCTTAGGAAGCATCATTCGCAAATTCAAGGCAAAGGGCACTGTTGAAACGCTACCTGGTCGTGGCAGAAAGAAGATGCTGACTTCGACTGCTGTGCGCTACCTGAAGCGTAGAGTGGAGAGAAGTCCCCGTGTGACTGCTGAGGAAACTGAGAAAAGATTTGTCAGATGTGGGTACAGAAGTTTCAGCCCAGACAATAAGACGCACACTGCGTAATGAAGGCCTCCGTGCCAGAACTCCCAGGCGTACCCCCTTGCTGTCTCCAAAGAATAAGAAGAGTCGACTGCAGTATGCCAAAAGCCATGTGGACAAACCACAAAGTTGTGGGATAGTGTTTGAAAATGGACTGATGAAACAAAATTAGAACTGTTTTTTTTTCCCATGGATCAACGCTATGTTTGGAGGAGGAAGAACAAGGCCTATGATGAAAAGAAAACCTTGCCTACTGTGAAGCATGGAGGAGGGTCAATCATGCTTTGGGCTGTAAATTTGCTTTCTGCAGGTACAGGGAAGCTTCAGCGTGTGCAAGGTACCATGAATTCTCTTCAGTACAGGCAGGAGATTGCATTGGATGGAAACGTGATGCAGTCCGTCAAACAAATCACTGAGGCTTGGGAGACGTTGGACCTTTCAACAGGACAATGATCCCAAGCATACCTCCAAGTCCACTAGAGCAGGTTTCAGAGGAAAGGCTGGAACATTTGGAGTGGCCATCGCAGTCACCAGACTTAAATCACGATTGAGAACCTCTGGTGGGACTTAAAGAAAGCAGTTGCAGTGCGCAAGCCTAAAGAATGTGACTGAACTGGAGGCCTTTGCCCATGAAGAATGGGCGAAGATACCCGTAGATCGCTGCAAGACACTGTGTCAAGCTATGCTTCACGTTTAAAAGCTGTTATAACTGTAAAAGGATGCTGTACTAAGTACAAAATTGAATGTCACTTGGGGGTTGAAAAAAAAAAAAGCTGATAATGCTGTGAGCACAGAAAAGAAACATTTGTGGTTATTTCATTATAACTGTTTATGTTATATTTGTCTGACCTACAAGTGCCTCTTTAATGTAAATGTAAGCAAGATGACTGAATGATCAAAAGCAATGTCAAACTGGCCAAAACACTCAATTTCAGTGGGGTTTACGAATAATTTTGTTCAACTGTAAATGCTGATACTTGGGTAAACACGCGCATGAGAACACATGTATGCCCCTAGCTGAAAAACTATACTTCCACGGTCGTACGTGCATAAGTATGCGAGTGTTTACACAAGTTTCAAAGTACACCTGCATATAACCAATTATTTCCATGGTCGGGAGTACCTAGCACCCAGCTGAGGAAATAAACTCAAATTTTATGTTGTATGGCCCCAGACTTCATTGTGCATGAGGTCTTATGCCTAATATTGTTTTTTAAGACATTATTTATATGACATATATTACATAGTCAGCCAAACTAAAAATAAAAATCCATTTCACACTAATCTTACACTGTAAAAAACTGTACACAGGGAAACATAGAAAGAGCTACTAATACACTGTGACATCAGCTCTGAAAATAGGAATTTTCAAAATTCCTGTCATGGAGTACAGTACAGCACACAAAAATTGATTCTTAAGCCATGGGTTATATTCTGCTACCTTCAGGTGATTGGACACTGACAAAAGCTTTGCTGGGACCACCCCCCACCCCCAGGGTATCCATATAACCACGCTCGCTCTTCAGCAAGCAGTAAGGAGATCACAAAGTAAAGAGGGGAGCAACCTGTGTCCTGTACTTTACTCTAAAATATGGAATTTACAGGTACATCATCAAAATTCATATTATCTTAATTGTACAGCACAGGATACAGGAATTGATTCTCAGATAAGAGAATGTCCCTAAGCAATAAGTCGAGGGATGAGCAACAAAATTAACAAATAATAAACAAACACTGCTCCACGTCAGCCCACTAAAATAGCCCCCTAATCATGCCAATGGCCTGCAGTCGTCAAGTATTCAACAGATAAATGAAGAGGTTGACAAAATCCAGCAAAGTTTGTAAATATAAATCCATGAAAAAACATATCACAGCTGAAACAGGTAGGGAACATGATGTTAATGCTTTTCACGCAATATGTGCTTCATCATAACCCCAGCCACACATCCAAGTTAATGTTCCTCCGCCATCTAAGTGGGATGCACTCTACAAAAGCAAGTAGGACAAAGAATATGGTGCCATAGTGCAGTAGTTTAAAACCACTTCTTTTTAATAAAAGTGAAGGAACTTACGAGATGCTGTACAGTATCCGTATAACGATAAAACACGCCACCAGGTCCCAGCTAGCATGCGTGATGATGTCACGTGCCTAGCCCCACCCAATGTGTTTCTCCATAACCAACGTCTTCATGGGATAGAGGCTGCATGTTGTGCATATGTAAAGGAGCCCGATTCAGCAGGCTGGAACAGTATCAATGTAGGACCTTGCTCTGAAACAAGGAAATAGCTATCAACCTGTAATGAACTTAGTTTCCTCAGGACCTGCAGTGGGATTCTCATAATTTGTTCCAGACCATCCACTCCCAATCATCTGTAGTCCACCATTGGTAAGTTAGGATCTTCCCTTGCGAGGTACTCACAGAATGTATGAGGATGAGGAGGTTCAGTACGTCCACTGTGAAGGAACAGCAATAACCCAGGTGTGAACTGAGCTCCTGTAGCTGTGTCTCTGAGGTATCAGACAATAGGTGCGGCAATAAATAATCAGCTTGCATCATCAGCAGAAAATTACAACCAGAAGTATGCAGTTAGCGGTCTTCACAGTCATGTCACTACGTGGAGGGGAACTGTCACGTACCCGGTCTGAGACTGATTTGAAGAGAGTGTTTCCCTTGTGGCTAAGTGCCAAGCACCCCTTAAGGCGGGTACAGTTACCAAGGTACTCACTAAGGCACATGTGTCAAACTGCGGCCCTCGATCTGTTGAGAAACTACAAGTCCCATCATGCCTCTGCCTTTGAGAGTCATGCTTTCAACTGTCAGTCCTGCAATGACTCATGGGATTTGTACTTCTGCAACAGCTGGAGGGCCACAGTTTTATAGCCCTGCACTAAGGGTAACATATCAGGAAACTGCTAGTGAGTCAGAAGAGGATAGTCATAGAAAATCTTCTCAGGAGAAGTGGTCCATCACCTAAGGGTACTAACAAAAAAGTCTCATGAAGTAGGTGGGGATGGGTACACTAGGGGTGATTGCAGTAAAGCTTTTTCCAGTGTCAAATCAACTGAAAGTATAGAATATAACACATGGTCTAAGAATCAATTCCTGTGTCTTGTACTGTACAATTGATACTTAAATGTCTATATGCTCCAACAATGAGACAAATGAAGAAAGACCAATATAAAGAACATAAGCCATTCAACTTTAAAAGGGCAACACTGAAATATTGAAACAGGAAACAACTGACATCCACTGACTGAGGAAGTTATTTCTGAATTCCATTGCTCAGATAGCTTTTAATATTATATTATAAAATGATTCATGTTTTCATCTCCACTTGTTTGTTGTAGAACCAGGTCAAATAAGCTGTGACTTGTATATTCTGCTGCATTTACAAAGGGCAACAAGTTCAGCTGCAGGTGCACAGAAATTATACATTAAAATAAAATAGAAAGAAGCTTTTACTGGGAAGAAACAACACCTTATCAGATAGGGCCTCTGCTGCCAGCCCTGGGCAAAATAACAACTACAAATAAGCTTTACTTACCCACTTCTGAGAGCAGTTATTATGCAATCGGCACAAAACCTGTGCAGACATTCTTTAGTTGTCATTGTGTTCTTCAGCATGTCAAGGCAAATTGGACACATAAGCTCACTGTGCAAGCTTCTGGGGGATACTACAATTTCTAGCCCATCTGTAATTGCTTCCTGTCAAAACATTAAGCATTCAAAATATGAATATTAATTCAAACCCACAACCTACAGTAAAGCCTCCACTTCCACACAGATTTAATTGAATGCATTTAGATTGTAATCTCCATGGGCAGGGCCCTCCTATTCCTTTTGTACTGAAATGTATTGTAATTGTACTGTCTCCCTTATATTGTAAAGCTCTGCACAAACTGTTGGCGCTATATAAATCCTGTATAATAATAATAATAATAATAATGTCTTTACCTGTGGTGTTCTCTGCAGTTCATATAAACTTAGCTCCCATGTTTTGCTGAGTGGCTGAGCTCCATTGGTCTGTACTGTCTGAGACATAATGCCTGAAATTCAGATACAAAGCTGATTTACTGGTAGGACCAGCTACTCCATATGTTCAACCATAAATCAAGAACAGCACAACTTAAAGTACACCACACCACTTACAATCTACATACAAAAAGTAAAGGTAAACATAGTCGTAAATAGAAGGCTTAATGTACAATACATGGGTATCTCTCTTGATGTATAAAGACAGTATAATCATGTGGAGTAAAGTGTCTTCCTAATTTTATACAGGCTTACCTTCCATCTTGCACAATTGTACATACATGTATTAGAAGCTGCAGCAAGTCAGACAGAGTCTACCTCATTTCCTATCTGAAAGATTCCTGCACCATCTAGCCCTTTCCTAAGTAATCGGATTATCCCTGGCCTGTCCCTTTCTTTCTTTGGACTTTGGTTCATTCAGTCATGGAGGCTCAGCATCTCATGTAGGTGTTACTAATGCAGCCTACATGCAAATGCACCCTGAGAAGACTGCCCACTCATCCAGACTGACACCCCCATGAAGACATTTTGATGTTTGCATAAGTCCTCCCAAGAGACAGAACCATTTGCATCAGAGCAGAGGGCTTGTGAAATAAGCATTGAAGCAGGGTGCTGTTACGTTTTCAGGAAGCTATATATAGCATCTTGCCGGACCCTCCCACCAGCTATGATCTGCTTACATTGCAGAGAAAAGTACAGAGACAAAGTGATGGCATTAATGAGCACTATATCCTTTCTCTGTCTCTTGAATTTATATGCACGGTGAATTCCTGAATGGCTGGCTGAGTCTACCGGTCTGGTTTTGAGAGCAAAAGGTTATTGCTACTGTCATTCCCACATAAAAATGTCACCATTACTGGATGATACTACAGAATTCCTGTTTGGGTCCTGTATTAACCACTTCAATAGCGGGCACTTTTACCCCCTTCCTGTCCAGGCCAATTTTCAGCTCTCTCACACTTTGAATGACAATTGTGTGGTCATGCAACACTGAACCCAAAATAAATGTTTATCATTTTGTTCACACAACTAGAGCTTTCTTTTCATGGTATTTAATCACCACTGGGTTTTTTATTTTTTTGCTAGATTAACGAAAAAAATGTTTTTCTTACTTATAAAATTTTGCAAATAAATAATTGTTCTTCATAAATTTAGGCCAAGTATGCTGCTACATTTCTTTGGTGAAAATAACCTAAATTAGTACTTATTATTTAGTCTGTAGGAAAGTTATGGTATATCTGAAAATCAATCAATCCTGAAGTACTGACGGCCAATCTAATTTTTTGAGGCCCAAAAATATCAGGACAGTAGATATCCCCCAATTGACTCCTTTTTCCAAAGTAGACAGTCTGAGGTATTTAGTAAGAGGCATGGTGAGTTTTTGAAGTTGTAATTTTATATCAGAAGTTTTTGTAAAATTAATAAATTAAAAAACATTTTCACAATTTTTTTTTTTACATACTGTCACCAGTGCAGTACAGCGTAATAATACATATAACTGGTGTGGGATCAGGGACACTAACTGGTGATAGTACAAAAAAAAAAATATTATTATTATTATTATTATTATTATTATTAATAATAATAATACATTTTCAATTTTGTTTTTATTTTTTAGTAATTTTTTTTATTTTTTTAATGATTTGTTTTCATAACACGCTGTGACCAAAGTAGTATGTTACCATAGTAACATTGTACTATTCTGGGGAAGTGATCAGCATTTTTTTAAGCATTATGATTGCTTATAGCAAAGAATTTCATTGCTACAAGCAAGCATTTAACTGAATGAAATTGATTCAGTCAGATGTTTTTGTTGTGATAAGCTGTGATTGGCAACAGCTAATCACATGACACAGATAGGCTGTGATTGGCCCAGTCTTTACCCTGTAATTACTGTGACCAATCACAGCTAGTGACACAATTGTATACAATGGATGGCATGAAAGGAAGCCATCCATTGTTTACAATTGTCATGTGATCTGCTGTGATTGGTCACAGCAGTCACATGTTACTGGCAACGGGCTAGTACACAGATTTGTCATCGGCTGTGTCAGATCTCGCCACAGTGTGGCCCTGCAAGCAGACGCGAGGTGCAATCTGGGAGGATGTCATATGAAGCACACCCAGATCGATGAAAGTTCCGCCTGGCTGTTATTTTTCTATTGCCTGGGAGGGAACTGGTTAACCACTCCCCGACCGTGCTATAGCCCAAAGATGGCTATAGTGCGGTCGGCTAGTTCTGGAGGGCGTTCATGGATGTCCTCCCAGAACCACACCCCTGTGTGCCCCCTGGGGCACATGCCATGAGCGATCTGTGATCACCGTGTCCAAATAGGGGGCCAATTAGAGATGCATTTTACATGTGACCAGCTGTGTCCAATCACAGCTGAGCACATGTAAACAGGAAATTACAGTTATCGGTAAGTGGCAATTCTTAGGGAGACATCTACACTGATCATCAGTGCCCTGATGATCAGTGTAGCCCCATCAGTGTGGCCAATAGTGCCCATCTGTGCTGGCTTTCAGTGCCCATCTGTGCTGACTTTCAGTGCCCATCTGTGGTGACTATCAGTGCCCATCTGTGCTGACATTCAATGCTGGCTATCAGTGCCTCCTCAGTGATGACTGTCAGTGCCCATCAGTGTTGGCTATCAGTGCCGCCTATCAGTGCCACCTATCTATGCCCATCAGTGCTGCCTATCCGTGCCACCTCATCAGTGCCCATCAGGGCTGCCTATCAGTGCCCATCAGTGCAAACTCATCAACGCACATCAGTGAAGGAGAAAAATTTCCTGTTTGTGAAATTTTATAACAGAAACAAAGAAAAACTTGTTTTTTCAAATTTTTTTGCTCTTTTTTGTTTATAATGCAATAATAAAACACCCAGCGGCAATTAAATAACACCAAAAGAAAGCTCTACTTGTGTGAAAAAAATGCTAAAAATTTCATATGGGTACAGTGTTGCATGACCGTGCAATTGTCATTCAAAGTGCGACAGCGCTGAAAGCTGAAAATTGGCCTGGGCAGGAAGGGGGGATAAGTGCCGAGTTTTATGCATGGACATTTTTTAAAAATTTTTTTTTTCAACATTTTTATGTTATTGTTATAGTTACTCCAAGATTGTAAGCTCTAACAAGCAGGGCCCTCTGTTTCCTCTTGTACTAATTGTATTGTAACTATAATGTCTACCTTTTTGTAAAGTGCTGCGCAAACTGTTGGCGCTATATAAATCCTGTATAATAATAATAATAGTTGCTGATTTGTAATATTGAGTTCAATTGTATTACATTAGGTCAGCACTTACACATATAGGGGTTGATTTATTTAACTGGAGAGTGCAAAATATGGTGCAGCTGTGCATGGTAGCTAATCTGCTTCTAACTTCAGCTTGTTCATTTAAGCTCTGACCAAAAAAAACCTGGAAACTGATTGGTTTCTATGCAGAGCTACACATTTTTACACTCCCCAGTTTTAGTAAACCAAACCCACAGACTATTGCAGGCCATAGATGGGTCGAAAATCGGTCGATTTTTCGCCCGAAAATAAAATCGGCCGATTTTAGGATCGTTAGTGGGCTAATTGTTCGGCCGTTTTTCGGTATTTTGGCAGATTTTTTTTATCGGTAAAGTTGGAAAAAGATCGGCCGATTTTCTCGGCCATTATGGGCAAATCGGCCAATCTTTTTACCGATAAAAAAATCTGTGCATGAGCAGTGACCTGCAATAGGAAGACAAAAAGAAGAAGAAAAAGAAGAAGAGGATGAAGAGGAAGAGGAAGAAGAAGAGGATGAAGAAGAAGAGGATGAAGAAGAGGAAGGAGAGGAGAGGAAGAAGAAGAAGAAGAGGAAGAAGAAGAGGATGAAGAAGAAGAAGAGGATGAAGAAGATAAAGAAGAGGATGAAGAAGATAAAGGAGAGGATGAAGGAGAGGATGAAGAAGAAGAAGAAGAGGATGAAGAAGATGAAGAAGAAGAAGAAGAAGAAGAAGAGGAAGAAGAAGAAGAGGATGAAGAAGAAGAGGAAGAGGAAGAAGAGGATGAAGAAGATGAAGAAGAAGAGGATGCAGAAGATGAAAGAAGAGGATGAAGAAGAGGAAGAGGAAGAAGAAGAAGAAGAGGATGAAGAAGAAGAAGAAGAAGAGGATGAAGAAGAGGAAGAAGAAGATGAAGAAGAGGAAGAAGTAGAGGAAGAAGAGGATGAAGAAGAGGAAGAAGAAGAAGAGGATGAAGAAAAAGAGGATGAAGAAGAGGATGAAGAAGATGAAGAAGAGGAAAAGGATGAAGAAGAAGAAGAGGAAGAAGAAGAGGATGAAGAAGAATTCTAGTCCGGCAAAAAGTGTCCTTGCAGAGAACTCCGCTATTTCTTTGACAGTGCTTTGACATTTATAGCGGTTGCAACTATGTATCTATTTGTTTCCGAATAAAAACATCTGTATCCGAAATGGATACAAATAGATACATTGTTGCAACCGCTATAAATGTCAAAGAACTGTCAAAGAAATAGCGGAGCTCTCTGCAGGGACACTTTCTGCCGGCTGTAGACGGGATGAAAATTGGCCGATTTTTTTTACCGTTCCTGGTAACGTCGGCCGCTTGAACGACCGATTTTTTGTTTTTTTAAAGAAAAATCGGCTGGTTTTCTCCCCATCTATGGCCTGCATATGTAATACAGGCACACAGTGAGGTTGTTTTACTAAAACTGGAGCACTCAGAATCTGGTGCAGCTTTGCACAGAAACCAATCAGCTTCTTTTTTTTTTTACACAGCTTAAATGAAAAAGCTGAAATTAGAAGCTGATTGGCTGCCATGCACAGCTGCTCCAGATACACTGCACTCTTCAGTTTTAGTGAATTAAACCCAGTGCTGAGCAGCTGACCTCCTGTAAAGTCCTGTCAGCCTAGCAAATCAGCATGGGACTCGGATGCAAGAGGAGATCACTAAAGTAGTGGTGTCTACTTCAGTGATTTCCAGCTTCCAGGGGCATCAACTTAAGTATGGCATATACAATGGTA